CTTTTTCACAACAGCAAAATACTAACCTCAATCCCTAGAGGGCAATTTCCTCAACCAAACAAATGATACACATTCTAAATTCCAGCTCTTTCACATCTACCACAAATTATTTTGAGACTATTAAAATATGGTGAGGTTACCTTAAGGTCTGGGGGTGGTGGTGGGGGCAGAATACTACTGCCAGAAAAACTAGAAAAGCAATTATATTTGGCTCAAGCTTACAAATATTTTCTTAAAAAGTTTAAATCCTCTAGAAAAGTAAGTAAAATTTAAATATTAATCTTGAGAATGTGAAAAAAGTATCACCTGCCCACGGATTTTTAACTGCCTTAGTCACATTTACTACTACAATGTCCACCTGCCCACCTAGAAATACAGAATGTCAAAATTCAAATTCATTGTGGTAACAACATCGCAGCAGATGGTCACGTGCTGACAATCCAGTCAAAGCTACAGAATAAAATACGGAGAGTGAGGACAGGTGAAAGCATTCTGGGGGGAAGCTCACTTGCTCTGCATTCATTTTCAACATAAAGACCATTCCAGCCACAATGTAAATGGAAGAAAATTTCTTCATTCTTTAAACACATATTTACTGTCTTATGTTCTAGGCACTTAATAAATACTTCATAAAGTGTTACTTCAAAAGGTAAATGCATTTTTCCTAAGGAACTGATCCTATCTAGAAAATTTAATCAGAATACCAGAATCCTCTTTAGAAGTGGGCTGTAAGAGAAATGTGACACAAAATAACTGATTTCTTACTTTTGTCACAAATTACACATTTATTACCACTGACAAGGACTCAATAATCAGTATATTATCCTACTAAATGGATCTTCAAAAATAGGGTTTATCTCCAATATCCACTCCAAACCTGCCAACCATTTACTTGATCTATACTTACTTTTCATAAGTAATGCGAGGGGAAGTGTGTCCTGGATACCTATAAAGAGGCATACACAACTCTTTGAAGAATTAATCAGGGAAAATTTTTGATGCCTGTAACTATGAAAATATTGCCAATTTAACTGGCTCACCAAAAACCCTGAAGTTCAAATGCCTGGTCTTCAGCCTGCCTAAGTTATTGAAAACAGTTGTGTTTAGGATATTTTTTTAAAAACAATTTGAGTATTTTTTCCCTGTATTCTGCCTCTGGTTCAACGCTTCTATCCACAGAAAAAAATAACTGCCCAAGCCTCCAGCTTCTGAATATAATATCTGGTATGTGCACACACCAAAAAGCTTGAGAGAATGTCCTAGTTTGTATTTAAAAATTTTTCATTTAAAATGAGAATGCCTTTAGCAAAGATTAGACATAAATCAGCTTTTACCTTATTAGGAGATTGCTATTTTCAACATTTACCTTAAACCACAACATGGATTTATCTTCTAACCAGTTAGCTTCCTGTCTCTCCCCAACTAGATTAGACTAACATTTTTCAAAGCAAAGGACTATTGGACCCCATGATCTGTTGCCCAGCTAATATATTTCAAAAGCTTTGTAAGTTTCCACAAAGACATAAGGGTTGCTAGCCTTAAAGCTTTAAGGATTTCCCTAATACTTCATAGCTATTCTATTAAGAGCAGGTGTCCTTAGCTGTTGCTATAGTTGTATACTAGTGGGTTCTCAAAGTGTGGTCCTGGACTCCTGAGAATTTTCAAGACCCTCTTAGGGGGCACATGAGGTCAAATGATTCTCATAAATAATATTAAAGTGTTACTTATATTTTTTATCCTCATTCTCTCACAAGCATGCATTAGAGTTTTCCAGATTCTACATGATGTATAATGTAACCAGAGACTGAATGCAAAAGCAGATATGAAAATCCAGCTGTCTCCTATTATGCTAGACAACAGTTGCAAAAATATAAAATGCTGCTGCTCTTTTTACTAAATTTTGTTTTGAAAAGATATTTTATGGAAACTATGGTTTATGTTAACAAGTAATAGATTATTTTTATTTGTAAGTGATTTAATAAATACACATTAAAAAATTTTTCCGTTTTAATTTCTGGTACAGCAACTTCAATAAACGTGAGCCATAGCAACAAAAGCTCTTTGGGTTCTCAATAACTTTTAAGGGTAAAGGGGTCCTGAGAACAAAACAGTTTTGAGAACAGCTACAGTACACAATTACATAACCTAACACACAGTGCCTTCCACAGATAAGAAGCTCAAGTTAACTCTGAAATATAATTACTTCTTAGACCCTCTCATCTTGTTGAGTAATATATCTCCTTGGAAAGCATAATTCAGCATGAAGCCATTCTATCCTAGGCCCTATTTAAGGGGCTTTAGATATTTAAGTATTTAGAGTCCTCTTTATAAAGATGTTCTGACCTATAATACTTCCTATTGTTTGAATAGTGTTTCTTAACATTTTTCACAAAAATTGCCTTATTCATCCTAACAGCAACCTGTGAAGTATTACCCTTTTTACAGATGACTTCATGAAACTGATGCTTAAAGGAAACAGAACTACTTGTCCAAGAATGTACTGCTAGCTAATAGGGCCTAGGGATGTTCATCTTTTGCAACTGCTTGGCTGCTTTAAAGCTGTTTCACTGTGGTGTAATTCCAATGAAAACAGGGCAAGGGCATTACTTTTATTGTCCCAGTGCCAAAACAGGGATTTTTTCGCTCATTAATAAGAACATAATCAGACACAATACTCAGTCACACCATTATTCAACACATTGGCTACCCTTTGGTTCCCTACCAAAAGAGAGATAGAGAGAAAATTCAAGAGTGTTGGAGGATAAATACCAGAATATATAACCCTCCAAGATGATGAATTAGTTAAGGACACACACACAAACACCCACACACACACACACAGATAAGGACTCACAGATTTACTAATCATTTAATCACTGAAACAACAGGCAGGTAAGAACAAGATGGAGCTCAATACAGTAACATTAGATTAATGAATGGATGGATGCCAATAGGTTCAATTTACAGAATGGAATATGGACAGAAGAAATCCCCACATAAAGTTAAACTTGCTTTATTGGTCTACAAACCCAAGCGAGAGGCAAAGTACCATCCTACCCCTTGGACAGAAATTATCCCTCCATTAGGGCTAGAAACGTTCTTGTTACCAGCACAAGTCTCTAGTTATGCTCCATTTTAACTTACATTCCTCAAGAAATGCCCACTTTTCTGCATCTCTTTTCCACGACTGACAAAGGCAAGACTGCCTCACAAGAGGTTATCTGCCATTTGCATGTGCCCAGCGAGGGCATTTTAAAATTTGATGTGATTTTACCAGAAAACAACAACAACAAAACAACACAAAAACAGAATTGTGCTAACTGTCCTGTAGTTTATTTACAAGAGATGAGCAAGAGTAATTTCATCATTCCTCATGAGGTATGCTTTTCCTAGTGTTTACTTAGGCCATTTTTTTTTTCAAATCTCTTTTGGAAAAAAATTAAAAGTTACAGTTATAGTATCACAGCTATAACTACAATTGTAGCGAATGCACCAACAACCAATTTTGTAAAGCAATTCGATGCACCTTTATTTGTTGTTCCATACTCAACATTCACTGCAAAAGATGTATTCATATGTAAGAGCTAATTTATACAAGTTTCTGTACCCTCATAAAAGAACTGCAATACCGCACTGTAAAACCAATTAACCGGTTGATCTTTAAAAGGCTTCTTGCAGAAAAAAAAAACAATCCGACTTTACAAAGGCAAGCAAAGCACCAAACCTCTGAGAGGTCCGAGGGAACCGGGGTTATTTCTATTCCTTATCCCAGAGTATATCTTTCTTTGTGGCGTTACCTATGTTTTCCTCCAAGGACATGATTACCATTGAAGAAGAAACCTGTCAAAAGTGTTACGGCAGCCTCTAAACTACCTTCCCAGCTGCAGCCCGTAATGAGAAATGTCACACTGCTAAATCGTACCAGGGCTGTGTGCCTAGATTTCTGCAAATAAATTTTAAGGTTTTTGTAGGGCACCATTCGAATTTTACCCTACAATCCAAGCTACCACGGACCGTCTCAAATCTAATAAACAAAGACTCTAGCGGCGGCACCAGGCCCCTACCAGGAAGTAATCAATGCGGTGCGGCCGGTGCGATCCTAAGTCGGCGGAACAGACAATAAGAGGGTAGTGGGGTTTCCAACGGGCCGGCAGAAGGAGTTCATTTGCGTAAGCGATGCAAAAGCACTGCATAAACCTAATAATTGTTACGCCGCACTTGAACTCGGGAACCCCAGCGCAGTTTCAGACCACACAACACCCTCCAGGCCATCGAGCCGCCCTCCCAAGCGGCTGCTGGGTCGGCCCCCGAGCTTTCCGGGCCACAGCTTGTTTTCAAACTTCACCCTCCCCGGGTGATGAAAGACTCCAACCTCGGCCGCCCGAGCGCTGAGCGCTGAGCGCTGAGCACCGAGCACCTCCCGCGGCCCGGAGCTCCCGCCCGGCACAGATCGGGTTGCCTGCGGGCAAGCGGAGGGCAGCGGGGCTGGGGCCAGCGGCGAAAGGCCGGGGCGCCCCGAAGCCCAGACAAAGCTGCGCCCGGAGAGCGGCGTCTTCCCGTCCCGCCGAGGGCGCGACGCCACTCAGGCCCCTCCACACGTGAGACCGCCCTGTGGGGGCCGGACACCCGCCACTACCGCCCCCGACCCGGCGACTCGGGCGAGCACAGCCCCAGGGCGGGGCGGGGGCGCAGCCGCAGGCCCGGCTCCCGGTGCGGTGCGTCGCTGCCCCCACGCGCTCGCGGCCCCAGCGGGCTCCCGCCCCGCGCGGCCTCCCCTTCGCCGGCCCGACCGTCGGGCCGCGTAAAACAAAGGAGCCGCGGCCGCTCTGCCCACCGCGCCCGCCCGCGCCCGCCTCACCGCATACCCTCCCCGGCCCCCGCAACCGGCTCGCCCTCATCCCTGCCGAGTCCGCGCGCCGGCCGCCCTCGGCCCCTAGACGGCAGGCCCGGCGGAGCCGGGGCCTCGGGTGCGCGGCGGGGCCGCCTGGGGCCGCACTCACCGCTGCAGCACCACGACGACGGGGAGCCGTTGGGGAACTTGGCTGAGTCCGGAGCGATGCAGACGCTGGAGCTGAGGTGCGGACACTCCATGGCCACGAGGAGAGCGGCGAGGAGGACCGAGGCTCGGGGTCCGGGCGAGGTGGGGGCGGACGGACTCCAAAGGCTCCGTCTGGGGTCGCTCCTCGCTGGGCGCTCGGCCGAAGGCGGCTGCGTCCCGAGCCCTTGCGTCAAAGAAAGCAAAGGCTTCCGGGCGCCGGGTTTTCTCGCCCGCCGTCTCCAGAAGCCCCGCTCCGGAGAACTGGACGTTCCGGGATCCGGGTTCTGCCGCCACCCCTAGGCGGGGGCTTCCGTCTTCCCAGGCCGGCCACGCCCCTCCCCTGGACAGGCCACGCCCCATCGCCCAGCCCCGCCCCCTGCCACTCCGCGGGGTGGGGTCCTGCCGCCCGGAGCTCCCCCGCGGGTGTCCCAGAGTCAAGCTGCGCTCCTAAATGACTTTCTCAACTCTGCCGCCCCGGGCGGCCGCGGCTTCCCCGAGCCCCTGGGCTCCAGGAGGAGACACGCCGGTCCGGTCCACGGTGTTAACCGCGGCCAACGAGCACTCGCACTCACAAGACTGATTGATCCTGCGTGGTGTGCGGTGGTATGACTACACCGTGGTAGAAAATCTGGCCATACAAGAAAGTGTGAAAGAGACAAAAAAAAAAAAAAAAAGAAAAAGAAAGAAAGAAAGAAAGAAAGAAAGAAAGAAAGAAAGAAAGAAAGAAAGAAAGAGAAAGGAAGTGAAGGAGAAAATAAAACCACTCGGGCCGACTCGCACTATAGCCCCCATGTTACACAAGACGACACAAGCTCAAGTTAAGAGCCTGCCGCCTCCCCCCGCGGCCCAGCGGGCTGCAGAGCAGTATTGAGTATTCTCCTGGCGGCAGGTGCGATGCTGACCAGGTTCTAGGTTCTGAACACGTGGCCGGAGCCAGTCACCTGGGTGCTGCGTGACCGGACCCGCTGGGGCGCCCACGAATCTGAGTTCAACCCCTGTCGTTGTGACTCACCTCGTGCATTACCTCAAGCACGTGGTAGGACTTCCATACCTCACCCTACACTGGGCGTTTGAGAGATGCCTAACCAGGCTTGCTGAGCGCGAGGTCCTGGTAGCCAGCCGATAAAAAGACAAGGGATCTAACTTTTGTTAAACACCTACTATTGTCTCCCAACCAGGCACTTGCCACACAATACCCATTTAAACCTCGCTCCACCCTGCAAGCTGCAGTTAGCGCGCGCGCGCGCGCACACACACACACACACACACACACACACACTCACACTCTTTTTTTTTCCTCCGGGGGAGGGGGTGGGGGGGACTGATTCTGCCTGTAATTGGTTAAGGCGTGCGGGAGGGCGGTGGGGGGATAGGATCCTCGACGCTGACCTCTTCGTCGAAAGTGAATAGGGAAAGCTGCAAGGGGCCTTTTGAGCAGGCGTTACACCCAGGCGAGCCTGCGATCTCTCTGGGACAAGGCCTTGAGGACCTTTGGGGCTATTACAAATACTGATTCGAAGTTGGAGCTCCTTGTAAAACCCGGCGAAGGAACAGCAAGGCCAGGAAGCGAGCAGGAGGAGGAGGAGGAGGATGTGGCAATCCTGCGGGCAGGACGAAAGGAGGAAGGTCAGGAAATGATTAACCGGGCTGGGCCGGGTAGTGGTTAGAGCAGGGCACCTCCCTGCAGAGCAGGAGCAGCTGAGGGACGCCCTCTCGGTCACTTCGCACGCCTCGCCACCCCACCCCACCCCTCACCGCACCCCACCCTCTCCACCCTCCGGTCCCCCAGCACCATTCGATTTTTGCCTAACGGTGTCCACTCACCTGGGGCATCTGTGCTGACCCTGTCTGCCAGTACTATTTCCGATTCCTCAGTTAACTTTCCACGTTTTGATTATTGTTCGCTTTCCAAGTTTTGATTGCTGTTATAAAGCAAGCTTTAGTTTGGGATTTTATGACAGTAAAGAGTTGGGAGCCCTAACTGGTTTGGATCAGTGGATAGAGCGTCGGCCTGCGGACTGAAGGATCCCAGGTTCGGTTCCAGTCAAGGGCATGTACCTTGGTTGTGGGCACATTCCCAGTAGGGGTGTGCAGGAGGCAGCTGATCAGTTTCTAACTCTCTATCCCTCTCCCTTCCTCTCTGTAAAGAATCAATAAAATGTAAAAAAAAAAAAAAAAAAAAAAAAAAAAAAAAAAAAAAAAGACTTGGGAAAAGTACAACTTTAGCCCTCCCAATCCTTTCTTTTTCTTTTCTTTTTCATCTGTAAAACTGGGACAATAATACTTATTTGGCAAGGAAGACGTGAGAGTTCGTGTGAATTGCTACCACGTGGTAAGTAGCAAGTAAATTATAGCTTTTAAAATTATAGGAGGTGAGGGAACAATTCTTAGGAAAGGGGATGATAAATAAATCTGACTTTTGCTCAACTTTCCAGCCCTCTCCTATCAATTGATTTTTTTTTCAAGGTCTGGCTGGACCAACTTCTGTCTCCCTCTGGACACCTACCCCATTTAGTATCCATGCCCCCAGATTTAGGCCAGGAGGATGCCCTGCCCCATGCCATCTTCCATGTTGGCATGCAATGTGTCTTTTTCCACCCTCTCAGAGCCTCAGTTTCCTCATTCTCTAGACTTCATCTTAAACATCACTTCCTCAGGGAGGCCTTCCTGACCCTGCTGTACCCCTAGGTAATCTCCAGGTGTGTAATGCCCTGTCTGCCCCCACACTCAGCCTTTTTAAAAACACTCTTCATGCGTATAATTATTTGTTTAATGTCTGTCTTCCCCCTGGAGTTCCATAAGGATAACAAACAAGTCTGTCTGCTTTCCTGTTGTGTTCCTAACATAACAGGTCCAATAAATGTGTTCAATAACGAGTGAGTGATCAATTAGCAATGTCTTCCATGGGCAGGAGTTTAGGAAGTGGCACAGTACATGCCAGGCATTTGCCCCCACCAAGGTGATCTCTAAATTTCCTTCAGCCTTGAATTTATGATTTTGACATCTTTGGGAATGTGAAAGCACCTTGTAAGGTGTAAACTGCTAAAAAAAAAAAAAAAGATTTAAAAAAATAAAGAAAAGAAAGGTTTTTATTAGAATTCTCTCCCCAGCTAGAATAAAACCCTCTGGGGCCGTAATTTAGTCATCTTTGACTGTGGTAGTCCCCAGAGGGAGAGCTATGACTACCGGGCAGTCCCTAGAAGCTGGGCAAAATCAAAGAGGTCCTCCTGGGGCTTCAGCTAGGTTTTCCTAAAGCACAGGGAACTTTCCTGTGTCTCTGAAAGTTTTCATAATAAAATAAATTTTTTAAAAAACTCGTGGTGAGTAAATGTGTCAAATGGGGGAAGACCACGGGGCACACTGGGAAATTGGCTTTTTTTTTTCTTTATAAATATATTTTATTGATTTTTTACAGAGAGGAAGGGAGAGGGATAGAGAGTTAGAAACATCAATGAGAGAGAAACATCGATCAGCTGCCTCCTGCACATCTCCCTACTGGGGATATGCCCGCAACCAAGGTACGTGCCCCTGACCGGAATTGAACCTGGGACCCTTTAGTCCGCAGGCCAATGCTCTATCCACTGAGCCAAACCGGTTAGGGCGGAAATCGGCTTTTTTAGTTCCTTGTTTCTTCGGCTACATTTAATACAACGTTTGCTTTTTTGTTCTTGGCCGGAATCGCTTTGGCACTGAGGAGTTCTGACATACATACCAGTGCGCCCCGATGGTGATGAGCCAGCGCCAGCTCCGGGGCTCAGTGCTCGGCCTGGGGGTCGCCAGCCAGCCCTCAGCACACACACACACACACACCAGCCCTCAGCACACACACACACACAGCAGCCCTCAGCACACACACACACACACACCAGCCCTCAGCACACACACACACACACACACACACACACACACACACACAGCAGCCCTCAGCACACACACAGCAGCCCTCAGCACACACACACACACAGCAGCCCTCAACACACACACACACACACACACACACACACACACATAGCAGCCCTCAGCACACACACACACACAGCAGCCCTCAGCACACACACACACACACACACACACCAGCCCTCAGCACACACACACACACACACACCAGCCCTCAGCACACACACACACACACACCAGCCCTCAGCACACACACACACACCAGCCCTCAGCACGCGCACACACACACACACAGCAGCCCTCAGCACACACACACACACACCAGCCCTCAGCACACACACAGCAGCCCTCAGCACACACACACACACAGCAGCCCTCAGCACACACACACACACACACACACACACACATAGCAGCCCTCAGCACACACACACACACAGCAGCCCTCAGCACACACACACACCAGCCCTCAGCACACACACACACACACACACACCAGCCCTCAGCACACACACACACCACACACCAGCCCTCAGCACACACACACACACCAGCCCTCAGCACACACACACACACACAGCAGCCCTCAGCACACACACACACACACACAGCAGCCCTCAGCACACACACACACACACACACAGCAGCCCTCAGCACACACACACACACACACACAGCAGCCCTCAGCACACACACACACACACACACACACACACAGCAGCCCTCAGCACACACACACACACACCAGCCCTCAGCACACACACACACACACCAGCCCTCAGCACACACACACACACACAGCAGCCCTCAGCACACACACACACACACACACACACACACAGCAGCCCTCAGCACACACACACACAGCAGCCCTCAGCGCACACACACACACACACACACACACAGCAGCCCTCAGCGCCCAACAGCACACCACACAGCAGCCCTCAGCACACACACACACACACACACAGCAGCCCTCAGCGCACACACACACACACACACACACACAGCAGCCCTCAGCGCACACACACACACAGCAGCCCTCAACACACACACACACACACACACACACCACACACACACAGCAGCCCTCAGCACACACACACACCAGCCCTCAGCACACACACACCAGCCCTCAGCACACACACACACAGCAGCCCTCAGCACACACACACACACACACACACACACACAGCAGCCCTCAGCACACACACACACACACACACACACACACCAGCCCTCAGCACACACACACCAGCCCTCAGCACACACACACAGCAGCCCTCAGCACACACACACACACACACACACACAGCAGCCCTCAGCACACACACACACACACACACCAGCCCTCAGCACACACACACACACACAGCAGCCCTCAGCACACACACACACACACAGCAGCCC